CGCGAGCAGTCACGAGCTGTGTGCTTTACACATGTACATGTATGGTGATTTGTGACTGGTCATGGGGCATTGTGACTGGTAACCTAATTTGTGACTGGTTATGGGGAGTTTGTGACTGTTTGACTGGTCACGGGGACCGTGATTGGTCATGGGGCCTTTACTGGTCACTGAGTCCTACATTATATTACAGAGGTTCCGGAGTACGATTTTTCGTGCCAAAATCCGTAGAGGCGCTACGGATTTTTCATACTTTCCATGGCTGGTAGCCCTCATTCATAATATTGGTTGACAACATGTCATCCATGAATTGAGAAAAATAATACGTCGTTTTCGAGCCGTGAAATGTTCGGGCGTACTGAACTTATGTGTTTGCCGTCATTGCCTAGGTTACGATTCCAAACACGTCATATTCCTGCCCTATGTCTTTTTATTTTGAAAGTTTGTACCGAAATCAAAACTTCTCGCGGAAAATCGATGTGTCTCGTACCAAATTTGTACGCACAAAATCTTTTTGCACCGATGACGCAAAATCTCCATACTAAACATGGTTCGTATCAGGGAGTCGTAAAATGCCGGGTGGCGAAACGAGATGCACAACCGCGTCAGGTGATTGACTCAGCTCGGGCACGAGTGTTGAGGGAAAATATAGAATCCCCATGACGTCAAAACGGTGCAGGTAATGCACAAAGGACGTGTTCGCTGTTTGGTCCGAAAAATCAAAAAATAATCCTGCTCCCAAGGAATCGTCCGAGTGTCAGCAGTTGATTTGGTTTTTCTAAGTTTTTGCCTTTGCCTTCGGAGTAAAGGAAGATGGAGCTTGACAGAGATGCCTGCCAAAGGGATGAGTCCACTGTGGAAGATATAGATGACGCCACATATCCACTTGGTGACCTGAGTTGTGAAGATGTTCAGCTGTGGACTAATGGTGAGATTCTCTCGTAAGCATTTTTTGGTCTCGTCTTGTTCTTGTGAACACGAATGTATAATCTGTACCATACTAAGCGCCCCGAACTCAGCCGAAAAATTAGGTAGTCGATACCGTTCTTTTCATCTGAGTCTGCCCACTGTGCGTTGTCTGTTCACTATGACCTGTTACAGTGTTGGAATTGTGACAGGATATTTATTCAAGTCCTAAAAATTACGGGTGTACCTAGTATGTAAATTGTTGACAATATTATTATCATGTAAACCTCCACCCTCAACCCTTTCTTTGCCTATTTGCAGATCCATGTAAGAGTGGCAGTGCCATCTTGGTGTACAGGCCTATGGAAGGTGGAATAATCCATGCAATTTGCGAACTGCTGACAATTAGACAGGCGAGTGTTACTGAGGCGATGGAGTCATGCCTGCATGTAATCAAGACCCAGTTACACAAGGCATCAGGTTTTGGATATCTGGTACGCCAGGAAGTGTGCCAGCTGAAGGCATGCAAAGGTGCTGGGATTTCGCAACCATGGCAACAAGTTCTCTGCAGCATCTCAACAGTTTTTGCCAAAGTGAAGCTCTTTATAAGACACAATATGACACAGCTAAAAACAACTGAAGCAGTGACATGTGAATGTTGCACGTGTAAGCGTGTGTGTGTGTGTGTGTGTGCATGTGTGCATGTGTGTGTGTGTGTGCGGCTGTGCCAAAGCCTAGAGTGTTCATTTGCGGCTGTGGCAGGTACTTCCGTCGGCCCAATGATCTAACTCGCCACAGGAAATACTGCAACTCCTGATGCTATCATTGCACGGAGCAATGGGCATCCAAAGGTCCAAAGGTGCATGTGTGTTGTGCATTGGTAGTCGATTCACATGGCTTTGCCCGTTGTGTGGATTATACAGTTATCTGACGCAAGTCTTGATCCGTCTCATTCAGATCTTGTTCGCTATCGTTGCTATAAGAGAAAATCTGTGGGTGCACATCCAGTGCATTTGCAGATTTGCGTGCTTCTCTTGCGACGGGCGTATACATGGTATGCGTGTGCGTGCGTGTGTGTATGCTTCCGTGATAAGTGGATCAAGCAGTATCCAGGGTATTGACAGGTACTGTATTCGCCTTGAGTGCATTCGCCGATAGTGTGACTTTCGTCGCAGAGAACTTTGCTCAGTCGGTCAGGCGACTCGGCCTTACGTTTCCTGAAGGCTATGTGTTCAGCACAGTTATGAACAGAAAAAAAGAAATGAAAAATACTGTGTGCAGTTCATGGACCATAATGTGAAACACTTTGAATGCAGAAGGATCAGGATAGTGGCATCAGATGCTGCATGGATTCTGTTTGATATGCTACTTTTTTTCCCCATCCATGGAAAGGTGAGTACATCATCGATCTTTATCTAGAAACTTCACACAAACCGAGAATGGAACTTGGACAACATGAAGGGGCCATGAGCATGGTGTGTTTAGTCAAGTTCTATTCCGAAAACAGGGTGTTATTCGCACTGACTCAATTCAAACTTGGGTACATTTCGTGAAAACTTACCTTGACATTCCGTCGTCTCCAAAGCAGTGAACGTCCAAAACAAAATAAAAGCCACGGCTGAACCTAAGGTAATGCGTGGTACGTATCAGAAACAACCAGCTCTCGCTCTGGAGATCCAGAATAGGCCTCGAAGCATATAGCAAAAACAATTGGGAAAAAGAAGATGACGACGACGTTTCAATCACGCATCAAATGTCGCGGGTCGAGTGCAGCAATTCTTGGATCGTGAAATGTGTGGCGTGTCGCCTCCCGGTATTTTACGACGCCATGGATCGTATGAAAGCCGGTCCACACGGATTCTCCGTGCCGAAACATCGTATGCAGCACGCCTCGAAAATATCCCTACGGATTATTGGCACGGAAAATCGTACCCGGAACCTGTCTAATATCTCGCTACCTTCGTGGACTGTCAGTCATAACTAGTTACTTATATTCTTTTATCTTTACAATAGCCGGAGTTCCCAGATTGCTAGAGTGCTCAACACCACAAGGATGGAGCATTACCACAAAGGCGAAAGAGAACAGAGACAGCCGGCTAGGTCATTGTTGTAACGCTGCGTTTTATGCATGCAGTAAAGCTAAGGCAATCCTCAGACAACTGAGGTCTGAGGATTGCCTTAGCTTTGCTATGTGCATGAAACGCAGCAGGCCATCAGTTGAACGTATGGATGCCGAGAATGCCTTTTGTATTCTTTTATCTTTACATATTTTCTTACTACTATTAAAATAGTAGTTGCGACTGATTTGTAAGAAAGGGTTTGCTGCCCACACTGGAGCACGTGCTATTCCGCCGTAATGCTGTGACACGTGACTGACTCCCGACTGCAATTCTCAGCACAGGAGTCTATCGAACCTTCGACTCGGCAAACCTGCAAGAAAGCACCACTCCCTGATCAATACACTGTGTTTTGGGTAATTCAACAGGCCATCAGTTGAACTTGAGTGGGCGGCTGAGGAGGATTTGAGGCTGAAGAGCACCACTTATATGTATATGATGCGATCCAGGCACAAACGTACCGAGACGTTCCGTTTCCAGTGCGACAAATATCTCGTAAACACCAGATGGCTGCGTGAGTCAGTGTCTCGCCTGGACAGTTGGAACAAACGTCCAGTACCTCAGTCAATCACAGCGTCAGTCAAGTGTCAAGTCAAGTCGGCGGAATTACGCGAGCTCCAGTGTGGGTAGCAAACCCTTTCTTATATTATCTCTTTGTAGAAAGTATACTATCAATGATCAGTATTTGGTCAATCTCACACCATTTCTAGGCTCAGTGCCAACATGTACATTTGGATTACTTTTTATCTTTATCCCAAGCAATACTTGACTGGGGCAGCCAGTAACCACTTTGCGTGGCGATTGCAGGATTTTGGTATAGACAACCATGTCTGAAAAGGAGCAAGAAGTCGAAAAGAAAAAGAATGTAATGAAGCCATGATGGACTAATGGGGACTACACTGTTACGTAGGAGACTCAGCATTGCAGACTATGTTTCTTTTCAAAATCAAATAATCGCGTAATTCGAGGCGAATTGCATACGAATCGCAAAAATTGGAATAATCCGCCTGTTCGCCTCAAATTCCATACAGTTGAACATGTTCTACCAGTACAAGTACAAGTAGATGCACCAGGAAGGCGTAGGTTTACGACTCCCTTGATAACATGTCCAGTCCACTACAATCAGTGACCAGGGTGACGGTCGTAGCTGGGTCGGACGGTGCGTTGACCCCGTTGAACTTTTGCTACTACAGTACAACGCCCTCTACAAACAAATTCACCTGTTATTTTGCACAGAACCATCATATACATTAGCAGCATATGTGAGCATAATGCGGCATAATAATTATGATAACTTTTAGCCTAAAAATAGCATAATTCTGCAATTTTTTCAGCAATGCGAAAAGCACAATTTCACGAAAATATTGGCATAATCTGTCAAGGCCTAAGGTGTGCTAAGTAGTCACACCTACTGTGATTGCACTCCGTGTGTGCAGATATGTTTTCATGGAAGTGTATGGCTTGGAGAGCATCAGTACAGAGCCTGGTTTAGATGCAATATCAGCAGCTGGAACTTGGCCATATGCCGTTAGCTGCCCAATAGTCCGTGAAGCCGATGATTTACTAGGACAAGCCAGTGTCTGAGTACACCCCCAAGGACTATAAAATTCCACCTTGTTAGCTGGCTGAGAAATGGCAGTGCCTAACAGGATCAGACACATACCAAAGCTCATACTTGCATCCTACACATAAATGCCACTTCCAGCATTTGTACAGCGATGTGGTGTACCGCATTTTTTGGTCATTTATATGGTGCTGTGATTGATCTAAAATTTCTTGAGACTGGGTATCAGTGGTTGTGGATCAATTTGGAGCCCAAAATATTTTTTGAAAATTTTGCACATGTGATGGTTTTTGCTGATCCAGGCTCGTAATTATACAGAAATTTCAATAGTTGAAAAATACATGACGTGTATGATTGACCTGTCCGGCGTTTATTACTCTTTTGTTTGTCCTTACAATGCTGACATCAAACAACAGCGACTCACTGTAAAGCTTTAAATCAGTCAACGGTCAGTGACATTGCCGGGTTAGCAATTGGAGAGACTGCCACGGTGGTGTGCCGTAGTGGATATGATAATATGGTTGGGGCGAGCACTCTTCAATGTATGCCAGGTGGAAAGTGGAGTTCACTGCCGTTATGCGTGGGTAAGATATTGAAATACTGCCTAAAATGTGGAACAAAGCAAGTGATCTGAGCATAATCCTAAAATGCACAGATCACCTTCACACGTCGACATTGGAATAAAAGTTACAGTCGTAGTATGGAAGCCTTGCTTGATAGTGTAACAGGTTTTCGAATTCGACAGCTTGTAACAAGAAGAAGAGGCGTACTGCTCCTGACTACAACTATAACACGTGGGGGGGGGGAGATAAACGTTACTGACACGGTTATCATGATAGGATCACCTTGTACTATTGCAACACATGTACATGTAGGAACACTTGCAGTGCGTGAGATCTGACACGGGTATGCGATCTCGTATGGTTGTAGATATGTCTTCGGTTTTAGTATACTTCCAATGTCTAAAGTCTTGACTCTCTAGAAGTACAATCAGTCCATGGAACAGTCAGTCAATGGAAACTTTCCTAAATTTGTATAGGTAATACAATGTACATGACTATTTTAAATCTCTAGTAAACCGGTGTCGTAAACCGGTGTCGTGTCGTGTCGAATGATGACCTGTATGAGCTTGCTCACACTGAGCCAATATCCGCTATGGCAAAGCGAGCGAGATGGCGTCTGCTTGGACACATCCTACGCCAGCCATCATCGACACCAGGCAATCAAGCAATGATTGCATACGCATCAATGGAGGACGCTGTGAGGCACAGGAGGGGAGCTCCAAGGTCCTGTTTAGTCACCACCCTCCAGCAAGACGTCAAGTTCACCGCCGTCGCATTGAAGACGAGCCGGCACCTCGAAACCCTAAGAAGTTGTGCAGTTGACCGGCAGAAGTGGAGTAACATTTGTTCTGCGGTGGTGTGAACACACATGACCGGCTGTGATTTTGGTGTGGACGCACATGACTAACTGTGATGACGAATGATTTCATTTCATTTATCTTATTTTATATTTTTCTAAGAAAGAGCTTTGCTGATGTGGTGTATTGGAACTCATGTGAAATCTACACCGTGATTGTTTTCGTCAAATATCATATCTTCTCTTTTCTCTCTCTGCCGCGGTGCTTTTTGTCACTCCATTGTCGTGAGTTCCCTTTGGAACGTAGACGAGAATTATTATTATTATTATTAAATAATAGCAATAAAAAGAACAAATTCTGCAGTCATCGCCACACTACAACGAAGTCATGAAAGTTTACCAGAATTAATTTTCTTGTCACATTCATCAGTGGAAAGTCGTGACTGAAGAGTAACCATGCTGAACAATGATTAAATATACATTCAATGATGTGTTACGAGAACAAAATACAGTGCCAAAATAGAAAGAGGGAAGGTGAGACAATAGCAGTGAAGTGAGAGCTAAGTGCAACAGTGGGTGAAAAACTAATAATGATAACGCTAAAACTGTGTAGTGAGACAAACAATCATGCTGTGCACCTACGAAAACAATTTTAACGCAACTACATGTTTCTTCTGCTTACAAAGATCAGGCTTATGCAAACGAATACAAACAGCCTCAAGTACTTTCAACTGACTAGCATACCGTGCACGACAAAGAACAGAAAAACTAAAATCATCATACACCTGCAGACACTTAGGGTGAGACAACAAGTGAAGAAAAACGGCAGACTTCTTACGATCACAATCACCATCTGATTCCTCGTCTCTAACAACCGCAACCTCGTCGTTTCATCTCCCAACTCGTCCTCAGTGTCGTCCTCCATGTCATTCTCCTCATCAACACTGATCGGTCCCAGGCGCGTTTGACGTTGTTTAACCTCTGTTCGTTGACTCCTCCTTTGATCTTGATGGCAACTTGTTACCATTGTTGTTGTTGTTGTTGTTAAATCTTGTGTTCCCAGTGTCCTCGCCGGTGCTTGATCTCCAGTACTGTAATAATTCATTGAATAATTAGCCGTTGATCGTCTAGGTCTTTGAATGTTGATTGTGTTACTTTCTTTGTTGAATTCCGTTCCCTTCAGCCTTCTTTCTCGTTGTTCACAATCAGTGCTTGCCTCATCCATATATGCACGTGCCACCAACACCACAGACTCAGCCCCAGCACCGCCGATGATAGATGTAGGTGGCGGTTCTGGGGGAGGCAACGGCAAAGACGGCGATGAGGGCATTACCTCATCACAGCGTCCACTTTGGTCTTGAGCTGAATGTTGTTGTGGTGTGTTATCTTGTGTTGTTGTTATGGTGCATTGTGTTGTGGTGACAATATGCCCATTATCCGACTCCAAGGCTCTCGATACGGGTAATGGAGGCACTATTGCCGATGACGGAAATTGTGCTAACGATGGCTGTGGCCGAGGGTTCTTCAGTGGCCTGCCGCGTTTTGGTCGCAGTGCCCGTGCCGAGCCATCAGCATATGCAGTGGGACGTGCTGCTTGATACGTGCGTTCAGATGTTGAAGAGTCCTACCAACGTACCGACTACCGCATTGTCGGCACTCAAATTGGTATACCAATTTAGATGCAAGTTGGGTTGGTAGGACATCCTTCCTCACCGTGAACGCACGTACAGTTGTGAAAACGGGTACAAAATGTACCGCGTAGTAAGTTTGCTGTACAATTTTCCGTACCAAGCGACTCATGGATAATGAGAGGTTACCTTTCCAGGGGAGAGAAAGATACGTGGGACATTTGTCCGGGCCAAAACGTTTTTCCTTTTTATCCAGCCTTTCGCTCATGAGTTCCTTCAATAGATCGTCAGGGTACCCGTTCTTTACCACTGATGAATGTGACAAGAAAATTAATTCTGGTAAACTTTCATGACTTCGTTGTAGTGTGGCGATGACTGCAGAATTTGTTCTTTTTATTGCTATTATAAAATTGTTGTCTCCACGTCGATTATTTGCATTATTATTAAACCGGTTCTTTGGCCATTCGGAAATAAGGTAGATGTTTGTTGAAAGAGGTTCATGCTACACACGATCCAGGTCATTGTTTTAAGTGTTTTAACCCGATCTATCTAAAGATACAACTAACAGTCTCTCTAAAGATGTTCTCATTGTACACCACATTGTCATTCGGCTTTAATCTGTTGCATTTTGAAGGCAATTGCAGGTTGAACTCGGATGGTGGGCTAATTTAATTGTGGTTAAAAAGAAGAAGTAGAAAGGAAAGGACATAATGGAAACGAGTTAAGAGTAACTCTCCACCACTGTAACTAGATACTATATACAGTCAGAAAGTGCAACAACTAGGCACAAAACTAACAGAGTACTGAGACATTCGACGTCCTGACACCTAGCTTCAACACATCTCCGTAGCGCCTACAGACAACCTTCAAACTTGGAAGGTTCAAGGTTATGGAAATACCAAAGAGGTTAAGGGGTTTCCATATGTCCTTTTCCTTTCTACTTTTATTGTTCTCAATACCCAAGTTTCAAAAAGAAGAAGGACACACTATTACGAGTTATGACTACCTGGCCATCGACGTTGCCAGATCATTATACAGTCAGCGATTGCTACAAAATGGCACAACACTGACAAGGAGTACAAGCAGTGCTATTTTGTCGCACTCGCTGGCCGTATGTGATCTTGTTACGTTGGTGGGCAGTTAGTCACAACACGTCACATTTTGTCCTTCTCAGTTTCACCGTGATTAGATGGGTGTGAATATACCTAATGCTGTAGACAGCAAACTGTTTCGGGATTTACAGGCCTCATCAGCATGGCTAAGACCGTTAAGTTAGCCAAGCTACCGATAATGTTGCAAAGGAGGCGCCACAGGCATTAACATACAAGTAGTTCGTTGCTCTAGCACCAGGATGCCCGACTACTACGCAAAGTAGCGAGCGATCTGTAAGCAGCGACACTGGACCAGCCTGCCGAGAGTGCTCAACAAGACGATTGTCGAGTAACCTGAACATTACGAATATTGTTCTTGCTCTACAGACATAAATGAATGTTTAATGGAAGAGAAGGTTTGTGTTAACAACTGTACGAATCTCACCCCAGGATTCATGTGCACGTGTTCCAATGGAAGTGTCGGTTGCTTTGGTAAGATCACGAACGCCATCACATACGTTAGGGGCACCATTTATCACGTCGACCACAATAATAAACCAAATGCTAATTTTCTCTGAGCTTTCAGGCAAAATATATTATCTAAGGCGTGTCCCAGTGGGCTTGGTTAGTGGTGTGTTTTGTGCGCCGTTTTCGCGGATATCTGGCCGTAATGAGTTAGGTGTGCCATTTGCTTTACCCAAACGTTATTAATCAATCTCAGAAACAGAACTGTTTCGTCCTATGTAAACTCTCGAGCGCAGCACAGAGAAATTGCGACCCCACCTCGATTAAATTATTAGGAATGTTATGATTTTGGCGCCCGGTAGGGGTTCCTACTGTAGTTTTAGTTATATTCCAAGGAAGATATGGTTGGGACAGCCAATGGACACGTTTCGTGACGATTTCAGGCTACGTTATGTTAAAAATTAGTTTTACATTTCAGCCTAATGGCACCATCAATCTAATGTACATGTTCATGCACACGTTCATGCAAATTGAACTTTACTAATACGCGCTTTACTGATGCCTGTTTTCGTTTAACAGTAAACTAGCCGTCACGATAGCTTAATTTGTCTTTGACCTTCAGCTTTTGTGTAGCTTTACTCAATACTAGTAGTGTGCATTGGCAATGAAAGGGAACGTGTGGTCCAGGATTGAAGTGGTTTTTGATGTACAATTAGCGCCCACCCTTGTACCATGCAGCGCATAACAGCTTCTTGTGCAATTGTTTGAATATGTGTTCAGGGCATAACATGGCACAGACCAGTTTTCCATCGTCACCCATAACCTTGGGAATTTGGATTGGAATGGTAGTGGCCAGCTTGGTACTAGGCGCACTGATTGCCGCTGTACTCGCGAGATGTCTGCATGTCCGCTGCCTTGCCCAACTGAACTCTAAAACGTCCGAAGTCAATTGTCCGGGCACCTCACAGGGTGATCTGGCTATGGCCTTTGGTGATGCACATGTGGCTGAAACGACCATGACTTTCAGCGACGCGTATGGAGTCGCCGTCCACACTGACGAACATAACTATGATTATGTGAGGCCATGAATCAGGAACGTTGCACATACATTTGCTTTTTGTTTGTAATGTTTCTTAATGTGCAAAGGAGTACTGATTATACAGATACTGAAGTAGTCCCACACAAGGTGTGAATGCAGTATGACACATGCCTGACTACCTCAAATTTTGGCCATTTTCTGGCACTTTTGCTGCAGTAATCAATCATGAATGTGTACGTCATAAATTGTGTTATCAGTTTTACCCACTGCATTCCCCATTAGGTCATTTGTATGCTCTACAGGTGGACCGGCCACCTTAGGTGGCCTCTCTGTTTTTTTATTGCTCAGTAACCCTTGGTACATAACCCTCGAGAGTTCGGCAGGTTCTGTTTCAGAAACACGCGTGGAAGTTTGCGTTCATTCCACTCATTTTTGGAATCTAAAACACACATGCGTCAATTTTACAATTGAAACAATTTGTATCACATGCTGTATATTTCCATGCTGTTTACATTACTTCACCATGGCTCTCCTCACGTCACGAGGTGAGAACAGCATTGCTGATTTTGCGGTTGAAAGAAATGCTAGTCGCTTAAGGCTCCTGTAATCATTCATTATATTCTCCAAACCATGTCCGGTACTGCGAGTACATCTTCAAACCTCCATTTCCAGGATAATAATGTTTTTTGCTGAAATGGTTCTTCATCTAGTTTGTGACTACGTGCGTTTTCATGATTCAACCTGCTGAACACAATACTTATTTTTTAACGTTTGTACTTGGTCCGCCCAGTTAAAATTGGCGCTTATCTTCACACTTGTCTCAGGAAAGAAATACGAATATTTGAAGCAAACCACGATCACAAAGCACTATATACATGATTATTTACATGTCAGTAAGCAACTCGGTCGAAAATTCAAGCAAGTTACACATCCTCCTCGCCACTATCGTCGCTGGAGGAGGAGCTCAAAATGTACGATCCGGACAGCTGCTGCACGAGTCGTTTCATAGCTTGTGACACTTCTCCTCGTCTCGAATCACGCCCAAAGGCAGTGCGTGCCTGTCACCTTCCCATCAGAAGCTGAGTGAGACTGCCCGCATGTTGACTGTAAGTGTTATCCCCGTTCGTCGCAATAATGCGTCTTTGTTTGAGACAAAAAGGCAACGCCATATCAGTGTCCTTTTTTCAAATCGCCTCTTGCGCTTGTCGTACTTGCTGATCAGCACCCGTACCCACGCGAGCCGCTGGCGCTTGAAGATCTACATGCAGCGCAGTGATAGCTTCCGCTTGATGTAGCACCTGTGGCCTCTGCGTACTGCACCTACAACGCCGTGCACCAGGCTTTTCGGCTAGTTTCCTAAACGTCCTTTGCACGAGTGTTTCTCTCAGGACTTGGTGTTTTCTTTGATTAGCTCCTTTGGCCTGTCCTCTGTGAGCTTCAAAGTGTGTCCGCCGGATTGGTCTCACTTTCTGGAGATATCGACATGAGCTGCAGTTTCTTCGTCAGCGATTTGCTGGTGATAGCCCTTCACTAGGCGCTGTACTGTGCAAGCAATGAAATTCAAGCTCGCGAAGCGCTTTTTCAGCTTTTCTATACCTCCCCGGGGTAAACAATCCTTGCCATCAGACAGCTGGAAGTGGACAGAAACTGTATTGTCCATCGCTCTGAAATGCGAACATCCTGACCTATTTTACGGACTCGAGCGGAGGTTGCAGTGTTTTCTTGCGCTGACGGAAGTGTTCGTCGGCGGCAGCTCCGTCAAAAAGACTCAAACGAACCGATCGCAACTTCTATGGTGGTTTGTGCTGCCATGTCGTCGGATGCAATGGTCAATGGTTATGTTCGGATGGTGAATCGGTGGTTCCATGCCGTGTGGCACAGGCAGAACACCAAAAAATCAAGTTAGAAGATAAGCGCCAATTTTAACTGGGCGGACCAAGTATTTTTAACAGAATGAATGAACACCCGACGTCATATTTTATCCTTCTGTCGTTTTATAGAACAAGAACAAGGCCCAAGAAACTACACGTTACGCTATAATGACCACTAACACCACCCTGCATCATACTTTATCCTGTCATTTTACAAAACAAAATTCGAATGGTGTTGTGGTAACAGCAAATACTTATTCTTGGAGGTATAGCGTATCTCAGCGAATGATGCATATACAGGGTTATAGAAAGGAAGGGGCACCAACATCCAGGGTTCAAATAGCATTATTCGCGGGGTATAGCATAATACGCCCGGAACGCGAACTTAGGGTTGTGTCTACTGGCATTTTCTGACTCAATGAATAGCGGACCTGCCTTCTCCTGAACTTCATCGCCTTCCGTTCACAAGAACCGCGTCCTCTATGTGGCCTTCCTATTTCGAAGTACTTCTTGAATCTTTAAAGATTGGTTGCTTGTCATTGAAAACAGTGTATTGATTGAGTTGATCCATACCATGGGAGATGCGAACTTGACACGATCGTGTACTTCGTTCCTCGCACGCTTGGCCCAATATTTTGATTTGATTTCAGACTGATCTGAGTGGAAATGTGCTTAATTTATACAAAAGAAAAAGGACCAAGGAACTACAAGTTACGGTATACTGTCCACTAACACCACCAGTTACTAAACAATCAGCTCATGCGATAACACTGCATCGCCCTGACCGACGGTCCTGACGTTCTACAACCAAATGGCTAACAGCTCTAGCACATCCTGGGCTTTCAGCCAACTCGTGCTTACCTTGGTAGCGCTCACCTTCCCCTCCTTATGTTATTTCTATAATATTCCAATTTGGAAGGCTGTTGGAGTGCGCATCCAAGATGTGCTAGAGCTGTTAGCCAGTGTCGTGCAATGTTATCGCATGAGCTGATTGTTTAGTAACTGGTGATGTTAGCGTAATTTGTAGTTCCTTGGTCTTTTCTCTTTTGTATACATAATAATAATGATAATAAGTTTCACGACGATGCATTGGAAACATGTCGACCATGTGCCAGTCATTTCAGGCAGAAGGCAATTCATGTTGATGTGCAGGTGACAGTTGGCTTCAGTTGTTTTCAACTAGTCGACCTGAAATCATACAGATTACGGGTATGATGAATGTGGTGTTCTATATGCGACGTTTGCTTATCTTCGTGTTAGAATGCAAGTGACAGCTGGCTTCAGCTGGTGTCAAGCCCTACAAGTGAAATTGGCAGGAGTTAAGGCATGTGATGTGTTGTTGTACTGTATGTATGTATGTATGTATGTATAACTCATAATCACAAGGTGATCGTAAAGGCATTAATCAGCGAGAAACTTGTGAATGATGGCTCCGAATCCAACTCTATCGTGTGGTCCATGAGAGAGCATGCAAGGGAAGACCCATCCAACTTTTAATGCTAGAAATCCATGATGTCGCGGTAGGCCCTGGCGGATAATGCTAGGAAAAGTAGCGTTTTTTTCTTGACATTCTGCTTGTATTCGTCCGGTATTCTGCCCCATTCTGTTCGTATTCTGCCGTGTTTTGTGAGCGCAATGGATCCGTAAATAGGCGCCAGCAGCTCTCTTCGTACTTCGTAGCTGGTTCTGCAGAGTATCTGCTCCTTCGTCTGCACTTTTCTGCCAATTTCTGCTCATTCTGCTCCTTTTCTAAAATAACCCATATTCTGCTCCAAATTCTGCCGACATTAGCCGCCAGGGCCTATGTCGCGGGCCTTTCTCTCGGTCGAGATCAAGGAGTTGATCCTTGCAGGAAGGGCTTGGAGAAAACGTCATGTCTCGGAACATGGCAAAACCACATCAACTTAAATTTCTTGACTTCGTTCGCTAGCCGCATCCTTGCTCGTGTTGTACTACAAAGTGTTAAATAGTACACGATGATCAAAACTGGTGTTAGATTGCTTCTTAACGGCGCACACCACTGCGTCTTATTACTACAATAATAAGGGTCTGTTTGCAGTAGTTTGCAGTAGTAGATTGTACTGTTGAGCCACCGAAGTAATATTAACCCAATACGATGCATAACATAGGGCATTATTCGGAGGGAAACATACTGGCACACGAAGAGACGAAGCCAGTTGAAAATCTGATGAACACTTTCGTGGAAACATACTGGCACGCGAAGGGACGAAGCCAGTTGAAAATCTGATGAACACTTTAGAGCAATTACTTCCTATGCTTGACTTTGTGTGCATTTATACTCTTTGCGTTCTGCACGAATGCATGCAAGAACACTTGTATGTTTGCAAGCCTGTCTTTTGGTGAAGAGGTTGGAGCGACCTTGGCGATACTTGGGGAATTGTGTGTTGGTACCTACATAGGATTTCGCGCGTTTCCTGCCTAATTGAATTCACGCTTGACTGACTCGCGGCAGTAATCCAGAGCACCCGAGAAGTCCATTGAACCTTTCACTCAGTCAACTTGCAAGAAAGTACCACTCTCTGCTCAATTCAAAGTGTTTTGAAGAATTCACACCTCATCAGTTGAGCTTGTGTAGGCTGAGGAAGACCTTGTCAGAAGAGCACCACTTATAATGTACTCCCTAGATCAAACCATCACCAGGGATACAAACTAACAGAGACGCTCCGTTCCCAGCACGACAACCGCTTTGTGAACATCAGATAGCATCGCGAGCCAGTGTTGCTCATGGAGATGCTGAAAAGCGCTGAAGACCATTCACATGCTGAAGCCAATTTTGAATTTTAAGACATGCTTTACAAACCTGTTTCCCACGATTGTCATTTCAGTTATGAGCATGAAACTGCTGAACGACCATTCAAACTAGCATTATTTGCTGAGATAACTAGCTCAGCTGAAATCATTATCAGTAAACAATAAACGAGCATAAGCCTCCGATACCTAAAACACACTATATCATCATATCCAGAAACAGAAATCCTGTTTATATTAGAAGCGCGCAACGGCGAGTGATTACTCAGGTGGTTGTGTAGCCATGTTTCTTGACACCTTGGTGCATGACTGGGTGCCTTAGTCCCAATGTAATCTTGCAATAGCATTGCTCCCACTGCGGTGACGCTGAATACACTAGTTTAACATGGCAGCGAGTCATTAGCCATTTCCAGAAAAATCCTACGACGTACAGAACGCACAATTCCTCCTGATCCTATGGTACGATATGATCTGGGCGAAGGCAGCCAAAAAGGCGCCGTACTGAGCGGCAGATACTGAGCGATATACCTTGCTAGTATCAAAAAGATTTCCGCTGGGGTCAAAAGATTTCCCAGGTGATGCCAAAGAGTAAATATGGGTAATGTTAGTGATCGTCACGCACTATTTGGGACATAACATTGAATACACGGTTTATAACATTCGTACTCTGCGTATTCCGTGTCCCTTATGTTGCCCCTCATTCTAACGTACTCGTTAAATATTCGGCGGTATGCCCTCTTACTCGTGGTATAATCCATTCTTAACCCACATGCATGCACGCGTACACAACAAAACTTCAAACAAACAAAACACACTTACGCACACTTATCCAAACACGTTTGTGCGCATGTACGCACACACACACACACACACACAAACACACACACACACATGTGGTGCCAAACGCACCAAATGCGGACACACATTATCATACTAGGAAATAGAATACAAAGTATTGCAACTTCAATACATTTGACCACCCATGCGTGGCAACTTCAAGCAGGCGAGTCAGCCAAATGGTTGCCCCGCAACTTCAAACGGAAACACACCGATACGACATACACAGACCACCAATGCCTGGCAACTTCAAACAGGCGGGTCAACAACATGGTGGCCCGGCAACTTCACACTGGAATACACCTGGGATACGACATACACAGTTGACCACCCATGCCTGGCAACTTCAAACAGGCGAGTCAGCCACATGTTTTTTTAGAAAATG